AAAAAGTAAAAGAAAATCTTCTGAATATTCTCAGGATCATAGCTTTCCTCATCTTGCTCAAATAAAAAAAAATAACATAAATGGAAAGCAAAATACAACATAGATGAAGAGGAAGTAGGGAGAATTTTTTAATGGATGGGGGATAAAAGATGGAAGGAGGGAGGACAGTCAAAGGGGATGGAAGAAAAGAATTGAAGGGAAAGACCATGAAAACAAAGCTTTCACAAAGAGGAGACAAAGAAAGAGGGGTAGGAGACAAAGAAAGAAAAAGAGAAAACTGAGCCTGTGTTCTGTCCACATGCCAACTCCTGCAGCCTCTGTAATTATGCAATGCAAACATGTGCTAATAAAACAGCGTGTTTCCCAAAAACAACCCCAAAATTTAGGAGAATAGTGGCATCATTTTATATCTTTGTGAGTGTCCCTGATGCCTGTCTTACTGGAAGATAGCTGGGTTCCCTTATCTACTCCCACCTTCATTCTGTTCTACCAGTCAACATGTCCCTTCTGGGAAATGTCACTGTGTCCTTGTGAGAGAATGAGAGTGAAACATGGAGAAGTGATCTTAGATTTTTTATATTTATCTCTTGCTTTTCTTTTATCTTGTGATAAACTATGCATAATATGAATTTCTCTTTTTAAAAAAACATTTGTTGATACAAGTCTCGCTACACAGCTCAGACTCGTAATGATCCTCCTGTCTCAGCCTCCCTAGTGCAGGAATTATAGACGTGCACCACCACGCCTGGTTTTGGTGGCTGGCATGGCGCACCCAGGGTTCTGCGGCTGGCAGTGCATGTGGTACCGGGGATCGAACTTGGTCCTTGGTTTTGTCAGGCAGGCGCTTAGACCGCTGAGCCATCTCCCTGTCCCTGAATTTGTCATCTTAACTGTATCTCATCACCATCACCATCATCATTTTTGCGCTGGGATTGGACTCTGGGTCTCCAGAAGGTTAAGCACACACACTACGCTGACCTGTAGTGCTGGTCCTTAGATTTACTTTTTAAACTAATGCATAAACATAAACTACTTTGTGATATTTTGATACAGGAATATACCATGTAATGTTTAATATCGATCATTTCTTTGTGGCAAAGACATTCATAATCTCTCGTAACTTTATGAAATACACACTGTTAGCACCCTCAGTAGCCACTGCACAGTGCAGCTATGCAGGAGAGCTGCGTTCGCCCACCGGACAGGGTCCGAGCGGCTGCTGATCAGCCTCTGCCTGCCTCTTTTTCTCTTCCGGCAGGCATGCATTACGGGGTCATGAAGTCCGCTCACCACCGTCCACCGTGTGAACTTTCTCATCATCTAAACCTGAAGCTCTGTGCTCATCAACGATAACTCCTTTTCCACTCACCCTCAACGTGTTGTTTTGCATTCCTCTTGCTATGCTTGGGTTGAGCAGTTTTTCCTCCGCTTAGTGGCCACTTGCATTCATGTTGCTGTGAACTGTCTGCCTGTGTACTTGGCCCACATTCGCATGGGTTAAGTCTTTTTATTCTTGGCTTCTAGGAGATCCTTTGTCCTAGGGACATCACCTCTTCTGCTGTCACATGAAATGGATATTTTCCTCCAGTTTCATTTAGTTTTCATTTTCTTATGATGATGTTTGTCAATGGAAATCTTTTTAAAATGTTCATGTACAAACATTATCATTCCTTTTATGGATTCAGAATTGTGAGTCACAATAGTAACAGCCTTCCCTTAGAATCCCAGCAAGGTCTAACATTGAAATAAAATCCAGAAATATACTTTATTTGAAATGTTTCCATTTTATAATGTTCACCTAATGTGTGTGTGTGTGTGTGTGTGTGTGTGTGTGCGTGTGCTAGTGGGGACTGAACTCAGGAGGTATTGTGCTATATCCTGATCCCTTTTTGTTTTATGTTTTGAGACAAGATCTTTCTAAGTTTCCCAGCATGGCCCTAAATTTAAGAGTTTCCTATCTTAGTTTCCTGAGTAGCTGGAGCTCCAGGTTTTCATCAATGTGCTCCATAACTTTTATTTTAAATGCTTCTGGGTCTCACTTTCAGCTTATAGGCCAGGGGTTTGTAATCACTATACTAATGTTGTGTTTTGATATTGGGACCCCAGGACAATATAACAGACATGGGTCTCTTTGCGCATCATTGTTTTGAGCCCACAGTAGTAAAGCCACTGCTTCTACTCTAGCCAAGATGAACCTTCTCATCCTCCAAAAAATGCCCCTGAGATCTCAGGTGAGGGCATAACAAATGGGGTAGGCTCTGAGGAGCTCAGGGATGGGAAAGAAATTCAGAAATTCCTGCATCCCTCTCTCCCTGTGATGTCTCCTACTGGAGCCTTGCGGATGTTTCAGCAGTGGGGACGTCTTAGCTGCACACTAAGGTAAGCTTGCATGACCTTCGGTCAGTGCTAAGTTGCTCTTATTCAATTCAAATCCAACTCTGTTATGAACCCATCTCACCAGTCTTTATTTTACTTGGGGATGTCACAACAGAGCATGTACAGGGTGACTTGCATGGGATCACCAAATGACCCCACCCTGTGCCAGACTCTTGTGTCTTCCTTAACCCTTGCTGCCTCATGAAAGGTGAGCTTCTAGCTCATAGTTCATTATAATTTCCAGTGTGTATCAACAACTACCCAATAAATACTAAGCAAATAGGGGAATTAACAAAGTCAGCCATTCTTTAGTCCCATGCCCCCTCTCCACCTTGTTACCTTCTCCATGTCAGCCCAATGATCCACTACATCGCTCACAAAGTTGAACTTGGCAGGCATGTCCTGGTGGCCCCATGGTACTGATGTCAGCTGTCTGGCACTAATGTGGAGAGGGCGGCTGGATATCGCAATGCCCCTCAAGGTGCAAAATCGCTTAAGTTTCCACAGCCAATGCATGGTCAGATCTGTGCAGGACAGAGGAGACACAGGGGTGTCTTTTCTTAGTAGATTGCTGTATTCATCATCAGCTGTGAGGGGAGATTTGAATGACCTAACTTAGGAGAGAATTCATACTCCACTTGTGTCTGTCTCCTTCTGGTATACCTCTGTCCCTGAACATCTCTCCAGCACTTCTGACTGTTTCATCAGCATCCAATTCTATGTAATAATAAATCTTTTTGTGCTTGAAATACAATGAGTGGTAGATAATATTGTTCCCAACAACTGTCACCTTCCCATAGCAGTAGGGTTACACATTCCCCTCCATTTCCATATGACTTCCTAGTGTAATCTGGAGGGTGAGTCTTGTCATTTACTCTGGATTTCCCATGAGAAATCTCCAGCCAATGGGACAAGAGTGGGTTTGTCAGACTCTTGCACCCCTGCTCTCTTATGAGAAATGCATACCCTAGATAAGTGCTTCATAATCTGCCCGAGCCCCACACTAAATGAAACATGGAGCTCAGCAGAGCCTAACACATTGCTTGCCAACTTCAGGCCAGTAGAGAGAAAAAGTATACATGGTTAGAAACTAGTGAGACATTGGGGTTATTTGTTAATGTTATCGGTGTTGACTGAAGCAAGTAGCACCTCTTTCTTAAGTTAAGTCTTTATCCATAGATTCTTAAGTCCTGTGGACTGGTGGTACAGAACTTAATGCAAGCCATCACTTTAGAAATCATGGCTGTCGCAATGATTGTTTTCACTAGTACGGTTTCAGGGAAAGTAATGCCAAGGCTGTGCACCCTGGTTTGTCTTCTGCCATCTGCAAGTTCATGAGGTTGCAGAATCTAAGTCGAATGACCTCTGATTCAAAGAACTCGGCTGACAGTCCTGCCAATTGGCTGGACTCCCATCTCCCCATGACCCGGCAGCACATACGAGAGTACCCAGGGTCTCTGGCACTGTTGCTTGTGTCTGTCTCTTTCCCCAGCTGGCTCTTTCCCATCCTCTGGCCTCACCTGCCAGGGAGGCCTCCTTTCCTGGTCACCATCTGACTCTCACCCACCTCTGGCCACTCTTATCCCAGCTCCCCAGTCCCTCACTCTGGCTGGAATCTGTTTCCCCTGCTTCCTTGCTACAACTTTGCAGATTTACCCCCTTTTGTACTTCTGAGATCCGTGGACTCTTTCCACTGGGGATTTTAACCCTCCTTGCTGGCTGTGACTCCTCAAGATTGGGGGGCAACCTCACAAGGCCTGGCCCCATCCTCCCATCCCTTCCAGCAGCACTCACTTACCAAGTTCTCTACAAGGTTCTGTGGGAAGAGCTTGCTCTGCTCTCCTTTTGAAGAAGCAGCCTTGGGTTCACTGTAGCCTGCAGGTCAGAACAGTGATCATGCAGCCAACTCCTGAGTCAAATTCCTGAACGCTTGGTGGATATCACAGCTAATCATTAATGATGGACAACCCCAGAGGCTTGCTTTAGGTAACATCAGTCCCCCTGGCCAAGTTTATGGGGAGCCTAAACTTGGACCTAGAACCGTGGGGCCAACTAAATGTGCTCTTTTACCTAGGAGATTAAAAGGAGATTTATGACCAGGTTTGATCGAAAGTAATTTCCCCAACCAGGGAGAGCAAAATGAAGCTCACATGGCCTCATGTGTCCTCTCTCTCTCTCTCTCTCTCTCTCTCTCTCTCTCCTCTCTCTCTTTTTGTATTATAGGACAGGGTGTTCAGGGTCTCATTGTGTAGATCGAACTCGTAGTGATCTTCCTGTTTACAGCCTCCTAAGTTCTAGCATTACAGGAGCATGCCATCATGCACAGTCTCAATCTCCATCTCAGTGTGCCCTGGGGGTGGGACTGGCACGGCAGACCAGGGGATAGAATTTCCGGCTCCTGCCTCTGCCTAAGCAGGTGCTTTAATCTGCTGAAAAATTGAGAAGGATTTTTTTTTTTTTTTTGGGTGGGCTCAGGCTGCCTTAATGGCTGGTGTGGTGTGGCATGTGGAGCTGGGGATCAAACCGTGGTCCTGCAAGCCTGACTGAGTTTGTCCAGGCAGGCACTTAAACAACTGAGTTAACTGGCAAGCCCCCTCTCTCCTTTTTAATCCGTGCCTTGCCTTCGTGCATAGCCTATTTGCTTGGTTTTCCATTTCCTCCAGTTTCCTTTGCTGATTCCCCTCCACCACCCTCCTGTGTCTACACTCACACTATCCATGATTTCACCCAGTGTTATGGCTGGGATCCTATCTTCCTTACCGGTGACCACCACGTGTCACTGCATCTGTCTCCCATACCCCAGCCTTCATTTCTTCACTAGGACATTCTAAAGGGTCTTTCAAACATACTTTGTTCAAAACTGAGTGCCCAATCACATCCATTTCTGTAAATCATCTCACTCCTACAACCTCTTCCACCTCAGTGCAAGGTAGCCCTGCACTTCCATGTCTTCCTATGTGGACCCATAGCATCTCCCCTGCATGCTTTATGCTGGATCTAGCAAATCCATCAGCACCACTTTCACACAATACCTAGAAGTCTATCTTATTCTCTTTCCTGTTCCAAATCACCATCTCCTCTCTAGAAGAGTATTCTGTGACCTTTGTTCTGATCCTCTTCCGGTTCTTTCTGTGGTACTTCTCCAAACATGTGAATTTCGCTGTCATGTCTTCACTGACTAGGAAATTTTAGTGAGGTAGAAAGTATAGGACATTGGAATCAGACTTTTCCTCTAATTTGACTTTGCCTCTTACTATTGGGTGATCCCATTAGGCCTATTTTCTCATCTGTAGAGTAGGGCTCGCAGTGGCCTCTCTCTGAAGTATGAAGATGTGGTACGATGCTTGTGTGGCACTTAGCACCTTCAGAACATCTAGGAAGAATATGCAGCTTTGCTGGAGTTGATCACAGAGCCAAAACATAAAGGGCTTTTCTGATCCAGAGTATAGCAGTAACACGTTTGTGGCCTAGAAGCTTTATCACAGAGGAATGTCCTACACCTTGCCATTGGCTCAGAGTCGATCCTCCCCCTAGCGCTGGCAATCAGAGGGCTCTGAGATGCTGGGATGAGATATTTCCAGGAATGCTCACCAAACAGATAAATATTGTGGCAGGATCGGGACTGGCAAGCATAACAGGCCATGTGGGACCCTGTGTCTTTCCAGACGAATGAGGTGATCCCAATGCCAGAGAGCTTCCATACAGGCGGTGATGAGACACCTTCCATAGCAGTTTCCACTGGAGACCAAACCTGAGGCACAGAGACCCAGGGGTGCCAGATAACGGAAGCAACTATTTGTTAATGACATAAAGGAACAAGGACTCACACCAAGCAACCACTTGGAAAGTCAGAGGTCTTGAAGACCCTGGAAGTCAAGGTCTAAAAGGCAGTCAGGCAGAAGCAGAAAGGCGATGTACCTGCAGAGTATATAATACACACTCTGAGCACCTTCCATTTTTCTCCAGGCCAACTGTAGGAACCAAAGAGCTGGCAAGTCCTTTTTCTGTAGGGTAGCAGCAACGACTTGCCAAGAGTTCCTCACTCACTCTGAGAAATGCTCAGAATCCTGCCTGCTGGCCTTTAGCCTCTAGCCTTGAAGGTATCTGTGTTCCTTCTTTTGTATCTTGCAAGAGGTGTTTCTGGGTGTCTCCAGATCTTTTAAATACCCTTTAGGAAGTTCTTCTCTATGTCTTCCTTAAATTCCCCTTGCTACTCCTCTTCAGTGCCCCTCACCACCTGCAGGGAGGCCTGAGAACAGTCAGAGCTTGAGGTAAGCAGGACAGCCTCCCATGCTCCTTTCTAGCTATCACTTTGATTCTAGACAGCCCACCACAGAGAGGAGGGAGTAAGACCCCAAAACCTAGAGTGGAAATCTAAATCATGCCAAGGGAAGCATGTAAACTGTTGTCATCCACAAAGGCTCTATCAAGAGACTTTAAGAAATATAGCTGTAGCTGAGTATGGTAGTCTTTTGCAATCTCAGTGCAATTCCAGAAAGAAACACCAAAACAACACTCAGGGTTTTGAGGTAGATTTATTTTGTGTTGACAGGCACTGACTGGGATCACTCCCAAAATATTAGGCCCTGATCTCTGGTGGTTTATATGGGATAAGCAAGCAGGAAGTACAGAGCCAAATGACTTGTCAATTAGGGACTGGCTTATACAATGTGCATGGCAGTGACCATAGTTGGGCATCACAGTGACCAGCTGTTCTAAGACACAGAAGAAACCAGAAGTACAACAGGAATTGTTGCCTGGGCAACTAAGAAACTGAAGTACACTGGCTGGGGGGAGGGAGGCAGCTTTTCTGTTACATTAGCTACTCAGAAGCCTGAGGCTGGAGAACCTCAGTTTTGAGACCAGCCCGAGCATTTGAACCTCTTTAAAGAGCAAGCTGCATCTTCTTGATAAAGGGAAGTTCTCTGAAGGCATTTGAAAACGAAGACTTCCCTTGAGAGTCTCAGGCTCTCTCTGGCCCACCAGGAGCCCAGAAATGATCCACTATTTCAGTTCCCTCTATCCTTTTAAGACATACCCCACCCTCTTGGGGGCCAAAGGTGATCACTCTGCTAGATTTACAGTCCTTTGCGGGGGTGCACATTTCACCCCATCATTTCTGCTCACTGCTCTGGTCCTTCAGGCCTCTTTTCTAAGTATTGATTTGTGTTTTTTTCTGCATCAGGTAGGTCTTGCTCCTTGCCTCTTCCCTGAATGGAGACTGGCTGGCTCCTGGCTCCAGAGGAAGCAGCCAGTCCTCTTTCCCTATAACCAGACAGTAGAGTCTTCTGGGGAAGCATGAAGGACATGGAACCAGACCATCTAGGTTTGAACGTGGGTTCTCCGCCACTGAGCTGTGCGTAAGCCTCAGATTTCCTGATGAGAAAGGAGCAAATCCTAGGACTTCTTAGACACATGAGCCTTGAATTTGACAATGTATACCCAGCATCCAGCCACCAGCATATTTTAGAGAGCGCCAGTCAGACGCACTAGAAACTGCAAAGCTTAGTTGTTCCCTGAGAGGACAAATTAAATTTTTTTTTTCAAAAATATGATTCTTCAAACTCAAGCTATTGATTTACTCAGTTAAACAGCAAACCTGTAAAAATTTTAAAACGACAAATACATTGTACAGTGTAAGTGCTCAATAAATTGAAGTGAATAGGAGACTCAGAGGGTGCCTGGGGGCTCACATCCACACACACACGGGAAGAGGGCTGGGGACCAGGAGCTCCCAGGTCATCTCACGGACACAAAGGATTTGGAATGATCAAAGAAGCACAAATGGAGGGAAGCTCAGCGAAAAGTCTTTTGCCCTCCCAGAAACTGAGATAAGAAGACCCACAAACTCATTTTGTTCAGAGCTTCTAGAGCCGACTTCTGGAAGGCAAGCCATGAGATGTTGGCCGTCTCTCAGCTGGTCAGAAAATATTTACCCAGGGCTGCTCCCAAAGAGACGTAGGGTGACCAGGACAGACCACTTCTGGTTGAGAGGGGTTGGGGTACATAATAGCATGTCAAACAGTTTAGCTCCTTTAGATGCTGCTAAAGGTAAGTCAGAAGTCAGGTCACAATGTATAGTGGTCAGGACCTACCAGTTAATCTTGATTTTACAACAAATGAACATCAATATTTTCACCTCAACCTGCAAAGCCCTGTATAACTTCCACACTCACTCTCTTCCTTTTTGGCTTGGCTTCCTGCCCAGTTACTCCTGCTCACTGGAAATCAGCAACATTCCTTTTGTTTGAAGATAAAACTCTACCCTGAGGCCTTTGTACTTTCTGGTTTGTCTTCTCAGATTGATCTCCTTGCCTGGATAATTACCAGATATTGTACCTTCTTGATAAAGTTTACTTTGACTACCTCCTTAAAATTGCAAGTCACCTCCAAATGTCTCTCTCTCTCTCTCTCTCTCTCTCTCTCTCTCTCTCTCTCTCTCTCTCTGTCTCGGCAGAACCAGAGATTGAACTCAGGCCTTTGCGTTTGCCAGGGAAGAGCTTATTCTATTGAGCTATCTCCCTGGCCCCAGTACCAGGGTTCTTGCCCTTGCCAAGCAGGCACTTAGACCTCCAAGCTATCCTCCCAGCCCCTCAAGGTGATTTTAAACTAGTAGGTTTTAAGATTTGTCCTTTTATGGCTATGACAAAGTGAAAGTACTTTCCTTTAAAAGTGAGTTGACTTTCACACAGATACCTTAAGGACCCAGGAATAGGTGTGAGGAACTGAGTGGGATTTAGCATCTCCCTCAGCAGGTGCCTGACACAGAACAAGCTCCCTGTACAGAGAAGGGGCTCAGGGGCTGTCACTGCTGCTTGCTCATCTCCAGGGGCTTCCTGGGGCCCAGCTCGAGGGGAGTGCAGCTTTTCTGACTGCAGAGCCCAGCTGGGCTGAGGTCACTCTGCACCTGGGTTGGCAGGGAATCGGGTTGTCAGCAGGCAAGCCCTGAGGGCTTGTTGCGGATTCAATCTTCACTGCTGCCTGTCTGGGGCAGTGTGAGCCTAGGCCTCCACGGGGGCTCTGATCACAGCTGGAGGAGAGCAGAGCTCCAGGAGAGCGCAGAGCCTTCTCGGCAAACAGGCAGGGAGCTCGTAAGCTCTGCTTTCAGTAAACGAAGGGGTAGGAGAGTTAGTTTTTGCCCCTCTAATGGTTTAGGGCTCAGAAATCCTGGCAGCATCCGTTACAAGGCCCCAAGTTTCCTGTCCGCCGCTAAAGGTGTTGCAGCTCCGGGCTTCACGATTTCCTCGCCTCTGGCTCCCTCTGCTGTTGACCTTGCGCAAAGCCCAAGGCCCTCTGAAGCTCCCGGACCAGAATTCGTACAGTTGCGCAAGGCGCTGGAGATGAACTACATGGCCAAAAAATTTCTCTAATAAATTTAGAATTTTTATTATTTTTTCATTTCTATGTATTTGGTACAGGGTCTCACCTGGTAGCTTGTACTCGTAGCGGTCCTCCTGTTTTCAGCCTCCCCAGCGCTGGGATTACAGGTATGCGCCTCTATTCCTGGAGGGTCACTGGCTCAGCGCCCCAGGGGCGCATGCGGGACCGGGCATTGAATCCGGGTCGCTGCACTTGCCAAAGCAGGCGCTAAGTCAGCTGGGCTATCTCGGTGTCCCTATAAATTTGGTTTCAAGAGGAATATTTAAACTTTAAGTTTATGGAAAGATAACATCCTTAAATGAAGCAGTGCTGAGTTGTGAGGGGCGAAGGGTATAGACACAAGCGCGAGATCTACAGCGGTTGAATTCTAGTTGAGAGACATTTTCATGGACTATCTTTACAAGATGCGATAAAAATGGAAAGGCAGGCTTCAAAAGACATCTCAGCGTGTCCTCGTCCAGCTCATTAGCTGAGTCCGGGACTGTGTGACTTCTGTCTCCCACCAAAGTCAAAATCATGATGAAAGGTCAGTGCTTTGAATTGCTTCAGGACACCCAGGCGGCTGAACAGCGCAGTTAAAGGCGCTCATGACGGAGGACCTGCAGAAGTGCTTCGCAAGTGCTGGTGGTATAGCTCAGCGGACTAAGCGCTTGCTTAGGTAAGTGCAGCACCCAGGATTCGATCCCTGGCTCCACATGCCGCGCCGGCCCCGACCCCGGGCGCGCTGAACCTGCAATGGAGTCCGGGGGTGGTGTTGCGTGCCTGTAATTCCAGCACTTGAGAGGAAGAAATCAGGAGGATCACTAGGAGTCTGGGCTGTGTAGTGAAAGCCTGCGCGCGTGCGCACACACACACACGCTTCAGAAAATGGCAAAAACGATGGGATAAGTGCGTTCCAGGTGAGGTATTTTGAGGTGGATTAATGGTAATGTTCTTTCACTCTAATAAACTTTAAAAATCACCATATTTTTAAATCAAATTGCCTATGTTTACTAAATGGCGTTTAGCACAGTTGTGCATTCATTTTAATTATCTTGTGATAAGTGATATTTGCTTTTCCACTAAGTAAACTCTGTGTGGTAGCTTATGGGTGGAATCCTCTCCTCTCTCCCTTCATTTGTATGCTGAAGACCTAACCCAGGACCCCAGACTGTGACTGTACTGAAAGGTAGGTTCTTTAAGAGGAGATTAAACTAATGTGAGGTCATAGAGTGGGCCCTGGTCCAATAGGACCTGACAGGTGCCCTCCTGGAAGAGCAGATTAGGATACTTACATCTACGCACAGAGAAGAGACCCTGCAAGGGCACAGGGAGAAGGAGGCCCTCTGCAGCTGACAGAGGAGGGGGGCCCGGAATGAAGCCAACCTGCCAACACCTTCATTCTGAACTTGGAGGCTTCAGAACTGTTGCGTGAATAAACCTTTGTTGAACAGTGAGCTAGTGGAACTCCCTGATGGTGACCAGCAAACTCATACAGGGAGGGCCTGGCTTGGCCTTGGCTTATGCTCAGATTTCCACATCCCAGTGCTGAGGAGGTGCACGGTGAATATGCACTTGGGAGTGGATGGAGGTGCTAGGAGTTAAGAAGGCATGGTAGGGCTGCTCTGAGCTTCCCTCAGCATCCATGTGGTAGTTGTCAGCTGTCCCTAGCCATACCCTTTGTGTGGAGGCTGAGATGTGGACTCAGGTCTGATCTTTGGAGGCTTCCAGGGTAACACGTAACACACTGGCATCCCAGGAGGTACAGTGGGTACCAGAAGGGTGAGGCAGGTAAGAGGCAACATGTGGTTTGGGAGATTGTTTCTCTGAAATAACTTTTTTGCCAAAATAGATGTAACCACCTCCTAAAAATACTTGGAAAGTGCAGAAGTGTATACAAGAATGGAAAAACTGACCATCTTTTAATTTCCCTTCCTCTTCAATCACCAGGAAAATTACTAAATTACTACTAGCATTTTAGTATATTGCCTTCCAGCTGCTTCCCTGCTATAGTTTTATATTTTTCCTCCCAGAATTGGGATTCCCCAGTATGTAAACACTTCTCATTCTACTGTTAAAATTTAATATAGCTTAAATTTTTCCTAAGATATAATAAGCTATCCTTGAGTATTTTATTTTATGGATAAAAAGATAAAATAAAATTTCTATTGTTAAAACATTGAATATTATTGTTTTAAAAGTAGTTACTCAGAGTATAAGATATGGGCATAAAAATTTCTCCTATTGATTTTAGCACAAACCTTCCTTTTGTATGAACTAAGAGACACTAATAGTATAACTAACTCGCATTTTCCTCCGTTTTTCCTTCCTTTCTTTCCCTTCCCCTCATCCTAGCTCCTTTTTATTTTTTAACACCACCATGCCCAGTCTCAATCACAGGCTCAGTGCATGGCAGGCCTGGGGATCAAACCCCCGGCCCCTGCACCTGCTTGCAGGTGCTTTAATCTGCTGAGCTATTTGGCTGGCCCTAACAATTCATTCTCAGTTCACAATATCTATTGTACATTTTAGACCTTATTTACTCTTTCAATTTCTAATACCAAGATGATAATAAAATGCTTACAGATATGTATCTGATTTATTTCACTAATGAGTATGGCCTCAAGTTACATCCATTTACCTATAAAAGTCTCAATCCTTGAGTATTTTAAATATCATGCAATATGCTATTGATTTAATTGATAATGGCTTAATCATTTTTCTTACTGTTTTCACATGGATTTTTTGTTTTGTTTTTCATTTTGAAACAAAGCTGCAGCAAACATCTTTGTGCACCATTTTTTTCCCCTTTGCAATATGGGGGATTAAACCCAATACTTTTGCATTAAACTATATCCCCAGGGCTTTTTTCTCCTATGAGGCAGGGTCTCTAAATCGCTAAGTTGATGAAGGCTGGGCTTGAACTTGCAATCATCCTGTCTCAGCCTCCCAGACTTGGAACTTCTAAGTTAAAGTGTATGGCTAATTTTATGGCCTGGATGCTATTACCAAAAGGCTTCATCCAAAAGGTTAAATCTTTATTCTCCCACAGGAGGGGTGACACACAAGGAGCTCAGGCTGTGGTAACCCATCATTGCTCCAGGCAGCTGGGAGCTCTTAGTGAGATTCACGGGGCAGGTGTTGGAGTTGCCTCCAAGAAGCAGGGAAATGTGAGCCACCACTGAGCATCGCTAGACTGGGCCACGGCTGTGTGCTCTGGGCCAGCGATGCACTTCCTTTCCTCTCCAGATCCCGCAGTGATTCTGGAGATGCCCACTTAGGAACTGAGCATCTTGATGTCTATGGGGTGGAGGGGGCGATGTTTTGAGCAGGAGCTGACCCATGATTCTGCCACTTCCTGGAACATCCAGAGAGCCAAGGGGCTGGGGCTGCACATCATCTCCCCCACTCTTGGTTTCTCAGTTTACTCCTTTGGATCTTTCCAGAAACTGTCTTTGGCAGTTCTGAAACAAAAGCCACCTAATGACCAGAAAAATACAAAAAGAAAAACACTTAGAAATCATTGTCCCAAGAGACATTTGTTTTGAAAGAGAGATAGAACCCCTGCTGCCACTTCTGGGAAAGCTCCCATGAGCCAGGCTTTTGCCTAAATGCCAGCAATCCAAGCAGCCAGAGTCTGGAGCAGGTGCTCTCAGCATTTCTGTGTGACCCTCTGCCCGATTTACAGGCCAGTTCTTAGAGTAAGAGCACAGTGCATCCCGGAAAGGCCCCAGGGAAAAAAGGACAAGTTGGGTGAGGTAATAATCCAGGAGGCTGAGGCAAGAGGATCACAAGGTTAAAGCCAACTTAATGAAACCCTGTTTCAAAATAAACAATAAAAAGGTCTTGGGATGTAACTCAGTGGTAGATTCCTCCTGGGTTTAATCCTCAGCACTGAAAAGAAAGAAATGGAGAGAAAGAGAGAGAGAGAGAGAGAGAGAGAGAGAGAGAGAGAGAGAGAGAGAGAGAGA